ACCTTATCTCCTTGTTCCGTCCAGACCATAGTTCAAAATCTGGTTTCACAATAAACCAATGCTAAAGGTTCAGTTAATCGCTGTGAATATCAACAATGATCTTCAATATATTCAACAATTTTTGATCAAGAAAACTAATCGAATATTGACAGACCCTGGATAGGCAAACATATACCGATGTCCTGATGACTGTATTAACAGTGTTCACTGCACGATATGTTTCAGGTAGAAGAAATGTAGTTTTATGTGTTGGTAAATTTAGGAGAATGGGGCAAATGTCGCGATAAGTTGTGGACAATGTGTTCTACGTTTGCCAAAACGCTAAGTAGCTCACCTTGTAGACATCAAACATTTGGATTGCAGTATCAAAGGCAGAGTAGAGGTCGTTCAGGAAGTCAAAAATTTGATAACCTGCCGATTTTGCAATTATATGCGAAAAACCGACGATATTACTGAAGTAAATTGTGGCCTGAGTAAAAGTCTCTGGAGGAACCGGATTCCCACCTATCAGGTCCTGCGCCACACAACTAAGGAAGAGGCAAAAAAACATATTTATTAACAGCGGCACTTCGGTTCCTCAATACAAGTAATCTTATCACCGTTTAGCTTAAAAGAGTGTACAAAATCTGTTAAAAAAATGGCGTACCACTTTCAAGCAAACATTTCAGGATTTCAGAGCATATATGTTCAGCAATAAAAGCCTCAGTCTTCAGGATCAAACAAAACTCCTACGCAGAAAAAACATGGCTAAACTCAACCTAGTAAGAAGGTTATAAATTATCACGTACAGATCGTACCAACATCCCGCATGGGTGCTGGAATCGCGGCAACCAAATATTAGAATGTGGACTGACAGGAAATCGACATAATATTTCCGGCCCTCAGTGATGAACTTGAGCGTTGCTTTTTATACTACGCTTGTGGACAAATGGCAAATGCGTTCGCGTGTCAATACTACTAATACTATGAATACTACCAGTACTACTAATATTTTTATTGTGACTTTTCACACTAATAAAACACTTAGTCCAGTGGTTGTACAGTTTGATCGACGCGAAGAAGGGTATATGGTTAAGCAAGTAGAAAAACCTACCGCGGTAACATGCTATTAATTAGCGTTTCAGTTTTCTGTTTCTCCTCCTGTAGGTCTTTTGTCATATGCTCCACCTGAGCTTCAAGTTCTGCCGAGCATTCTTCCATGATTCTGGTTATGTGGTCTACATAGTCCACGTCTCTGAAATCAGAAAGTATAGCTATTTATTAATTGTAAACGTAATCAACATGAAAAGATGCGTCAGGCACGGTAATGCACACACACGAGATCGAAAGTACATAGCCGATCTGAATTTACTGGTTTCTGAAACAAAATACCCAAGTATAGTTTTATCAATGTATACGCGGTTTCCAAAATGATTGGCACACAATTGGTTGTCTCTGAGAAGCCGCATCAATGAAAAATATTGTCTTAAAAAAAGATTCCTATATAAATGGATTTCCACTGGACTGTAAGGTATATGGCAAAGTTTCAGGCGAGCAATAGGTCATGATGAAACATAAGACTATGAAGACTCTTCAGATGAATGCTCGACTCACCTGTCGTGCATACTCTGCTCTAAAGATTTACTAATGTCATGGAATGTAGGCCGCATTTCAGGATTTTCGGCCCAGGCATTACATATTGTATGCAGTAAAATTGGAGGCGATTCGACACCAGATATCTAAAAGAGATCAGAAAATGCAGGAATTAGTATACGTTTGAGGGTTATTTAACCCCTGGTAGTCTAATCTAGGAGAAGTGCGCTCTACAAAAAGATTGTCACATTATATCTTCTTTTTCGAAATAGTTCAGCATTAAGTTACATACGAAAACAATTCCCGTAAATCATAATTGATTCATTTAGTTTGTTTCATGGAGAAATCACCAAAAAATTGCCTTTGCGGAAGTCTACGGTGCATGTAACGCATTGCAATTTCTGAAGGCTGGTAATTGTCAGTTTGTCAGTTTTGTAGATCATACTGAACTGTAGTGACACCTGGGATATTTCATGTTGCCTTCATAAATACCTTTTTCTGCTTACAGGCATGGTCACAGCAAAGAGGAAATAAAATTGTATTAACATGGGTTCAGTTGTTGCCACTATTAGTAGAACCCAACTCATCACGAATACTAAATTTACTACTGTTATGAATAATCTTGACATTTATTTTTGAATACTTACAGCCCTCGCATGCCTGCATAAAAAATGGCAAAAAAAATTGCCTTCTGGACCCTGACAGATATTTGGGTTCAAATCCTACAGTTTGTGTACACACATCATATGTTTCTGATCATGTATAGGAGTCGTGTCAATGCTTAGGAGAAGAGGAGAAATCGTTAAGCGATTGGTTTGAGTGATGCTTATTTTTATTTTCCTCGAAAGCTAACAAGTATTCCTCTCACTGCCGTCCCTCATACCTGATGGTTGATGGTCGACAGTTAGCTCACATTGTTTCTCGTATTTTGGCACTCCTACGCCGTTATCATCCAATGCTGCTTCCACATCCTTAGTATCGTAAACACAGTAAATGAAACATCGGCATAATGGCAATGCAGACCATACTAACCGTTTCCAACTTATTGGTCATTCTCAGTCAGACACAAGCCCTGGTCTTGAACCACCTAAGACTCGAAGTCACGACCTCGTGGTCAGCAACTAAAATCCCTAAGCGTTGAGCCACGAGCTTGAGCCCCAAGTGATACAAGATCTGTGTTTGGAGATTGGCTGGCTGCTGACGGTAATATAATTATATCTATCTCAGTAGTTACTGCGGGGCCGGTTACGGGCCTCGAGGTTAATCTCCAAGGCTAAGCAATCGGGGAGTGCTCCGCTATCCCTGAACGTGATGTTTTTTCTTCCACTGAAGACATAGGCCATGCCGTGTAAATGCCTGACACACTTTCATTCATGCAGCCGACATATTGGAGAAATTTGAGTCAGTATTAACGCCGTAGTTTTCCGAATTAACGACGTATTTCTATAAAATTGGACCTGCCAACCGAAACTTTGGGACTGCCAAAATGTTTATTCCGGTTTGCCTAGCTATGCAGTCAAGCCTCTCCTAATGTACAACTCTCAAATACAGATACGCGA